TTAATAATTATTCGTTTTTTCAGAACTGTTAGCAAGAACTGTTTGATAATTTTTTTCTTGGACATAATCTAAGGACAGAATAATTCAAAATATCAAAATTATTACATTAGGAGTATTATATAAAACATAAAGCAATTAAAAAAAAATTAAATAAATCTTTACTGAAAAGTATAGCCTGGTATGCATACTGTATTCGCTGTGCTATAGACGCGAAGGAAGTAAATTTTTAAAATTTTTGTATCTATTTATTGTATATTATGTCTAGCCAGAAATTTAGCCTCCCAATATATGTAATTTTCTTTTACTTTTTAATTTCGAATTCGAGCACGAAATTCTCTCTAATTTATCGTTAGAAAAAGTGTGTACAATTTTAATTTATTTTTTTTTATACATTTTCAGAAGAAATAGTGTTAAATTACTGTGAGATAACACAAGATTTTAATTTCAGATAGTTCACATATGAGAAAGCAGTTATTAACAAGTCCTCTGGAGTAAAAAAGCGATCGTTATATTGATAAATTAGGAACAAATATCCCAGACGATTTACGGTCAAGTTGAAATAATTAAACTCAAAAATAAGAAATAAAACATACAAGTTTCAGTGTAAATAATAATGAAGTTCCGGTTTAGAATACGTTATTATTTAAGAACCCAAAGTAGGCCGGAATTGAATCTTTTTAGTGGCAACAAACACGTTTATTAGAACGCCGTTTTATTTTCTTTTATTGTGAAAAATCCAGAATGCCTACCAAACGTAATTATATGGCAAGTTTTTTAAATTAAAAAATACCTTAAACTTAGTTCCTTCGCCTAAATGGTTCGGAAAGCAATCTCCGTTGAAACAAAAACGATGAACGATAAATCTAATGTTTACTTAGACTAGGATATTGTGAGAAATGTAAGAATTATTTGTTTTGTTTTGTAATTATACGATAACCACATATTTCCATGTATGTATGTCAAAGTACTACGTCATCTGGGATATCATATGTGTTAATATGACCATTATTGTTCACCACAAACACATCACTAAATTTAGATACTTTGTATTATATTTAAAAGGAATCATGATGGTTGTCTACTTTTTTATTAGTGACTTTATTTCTATTGAACAACCGCAGTTCCAAATTAGGTTAAAAATTATCTCCAACACGATTATCTACATAACTATTACAAGTTTTATTAAAATATGAATTCATAACACACAAATTGTACTCTCCTTAAATATATTCTTCAGACACTATTTTATCTCAGTCCTTGTTTTCTGCCACAGTATGTTGGTGATGTTGCAATAACCTGATTATTCATTAATTATATTCAGATTATTTCTGTTATTTATTTTATATACAATATTTCATAGGCGGAGTTAAATCTTGTATCCACCAACCAACTATAATAATTTATAATAAAATATGTTATATTTTTAGAAAACTAATTTGTACATATCATTCGTCTGGGCGGAAAATTGTTTCATGGGACCTAAACACAGACTATACACAAATTCATCTGCAAATAAAATCTAATTTATAATAGATCTATTTTCGTCTTATACTAATTCTGTCGCTTATGACACGTCTAGAACGGAAACTTGTTTAATAGTGGGTGCGCCCCCAAAATTCTACAAGCCGTTTATAGGATAATTATTGTTTAACGAATTAATCAATATTAAAATATTCAGACAAAATTTGTCCGATAAATATAATGCATGCTTTAAATTTTGTCTTTTTTTTTTTCAAAAATAGTTAAAACACCATGGCTGTTAATTATTATTAATCAACTTTTCATATCCACATTCCACAAGCATGAAAAAATGTCATGATTTTTGGACAATCAGGACGAGTATGTAGTTTTAATATAAGGGATTGGCGAGTTCAACCTTCGTTATAAACAAATTTCGTAAATTCGCTTCAATCAAACGTAAACAGTTTTGCAATTGCAGTAGTTTATGTGATTAGACTAAACATATGAAACCCATATGTAGAATTAAAAGCTAATATAACAGCTGAATATTTGACAGCGTGTAGAGAAAAAATAGAAAACACTTATGTGTATGCTTAATAAAGAAAATTAATGGGACTACATGTCCAATAAATTCGTTACAAAATTACTTTGTTATCAAATGATCTACTAATTAAGTTAAAAATTTAATGCGTCTCTTTCTTAAAAAACGTAATAAATCATTAAAGCGGTGAACCATCTAAACATCTAATTACAACTACATCAGGCAATCCTAAATCGAAGCGGAAATGATAAGCATCCAAATCACCAAACATCAATAATTTGACCAACATAGGACACAATTTTATTCAAATGGCTGTCTAATAAAGGTGTGTCGATATTGTTAAGTTGATCAACTTCACCGGATGTGAATCTTATTTAAAGTATACCTATATCTATACTATGTAGAATGCTGGTAGGTATCTGGTTTATATTTTTAGTTTATTCACTCTCAGAGGAAACAGATGTAATATTAGCAAGTCTGCAGTTATACAAATATAAATTATTCCATTTAACAACTGATTACGTTTATCTTACTGGTTTAATTAAATTACTTGATGCACACAACCAATGCTCTAAAATGTAAATAATACCACCACACAAAGATGATGCTTATTATTTAAAAGTAGAAATAAACGGTTTTAAATGCTCCTATTTAACATTGTCTTTTTTTAATTTCATTATTGTATCACCTTATACAATACACCGATTGATCATGCCAGATTTTTTTTTTTTAATTCAAATTTAAATCTCGTTCTTCTACATCTACATTTTCCCCTCCTGCAGACTAGCAACACAATAAATAAATGAAAGTATAGAATGCGGGTATATAACTTACAACACTATAATGAATAACTGCACTTAGGGATACTAAACTTAAACGTATTAATTAAATTTAATAACAGATACTCACTTATGTTTACTCCTTATGCTATTAACACATCGTCATTTTATTAAGTTCCAACTGTTGTGTTGCAATAACTGACAGTGTTGTAACTTAATTTTAATAAGTGATTGCTAATGTATTTACAAAGGATAAATTCAAATGTCACGATACTTCATAAAGTTTACTTATCTGTACTGGGGATTTTTAAAGAACTAATCAAATATTTGTAACGCACAGCAAACGTGGTGTATATTTACAAAATTTGATTATATTAACAGAAATATTTTTTTTAATATTAAAGAATGAAGACAGAAACAGTGTCGTTCCAGTTCCTGAGGCAAAGGAAATATTATTGCATGTTCATTTTATCTAATAAACTGAAGATATTATTTTCAACTCAATATGTAGCGTAACATGCGCTTTTATAAATGTAAAATTAATAATCCACCCCAACTTTGCCTTTACGCTTAATAAAAGTTGTTCTAAAAGTTTTACAAACAAATATGTATTAACATGTCATAAGTTATTAAATAAATCTTCGTTACGAGATAATCTCCTTGATGAGGTGTTATCTGTGTTCAGTAATAAATTTCTCAGGAATCACATTAACAATATGATTAATGTACACGCCAGAATTAATATATTTAATTTCATAAAAAATACTGATGTCATCTCTAAAAAAATTAATTCTAGTGTTTCGATAAAATTTTATCCGTAAGTTCAGTAACTACTCATCTAGTTCTCTTGAAATTTGGATAACACATTATAACTATCGGAACGAACACATTTTTGCGGTTTTGCCATTAAAATGTTACGTGATCCTCTTTTTTTTTGCTTGAGAAAGAAGAATTATTTAATAATTTTACAGATATTTATGCAGACACAAAATTTCACTAAAAATTATTTAAAATAATTTTATTCATTACTCCAGGTTCTAATTCTTGAACTTTGCATTGTTCTTAGCACTTTCTAATTGATGTTTTTAAAACGTTGTTTGTATGAAAATTGGTTGAAAGTTGCAGTCATTTCCTTATTCCTGCAGATTGCAGTTCCATCAACACAAGACTTCAAAAATTATATTTAGACTATGGTCTTCACACTTTACATCAACAAGGTCCTGAAAATACAGAATCTAAACAAACACTGAACTCATTGGCCATCAATATGAATATTAATTTGTGGCATAAAGTTCGATCCGTTGCCAACAAATCCAAAATAAATGTTTTACAGCAACCATTCTCATTTATTATTTCAGTTTATTTTTACTCCGACGCCTGAAATCGTTAACTTTTTTGTAAAGTGTTCTGCTATACGTTGTACTGTCTGGTGCACTTTTAATTTTTAATACGTATAATATTCACAAAATAATGTACATTTTTAAATGGTCTTAACAAAATTTTGCCCGTATGTAATACAAAAAGAGACGTGCTTCTACATCTAAGTGATAATAGATTTTTCCTAAACAGTTTTTACACACATCGTTCAGTAACACAGAGGCAAATAAAATAAAAAAATGACATAATTTCCATTAAAAGAAATTACTCTTTCTGCACTTTATACATATATTTTGATTAGCTGTAGTATATTTAAAATTTATATTGTTTTTTGTTAACGTTAAGAACTAGCTAATGCTGAACTAATTAAATAATAGGTACTTCACCAAACGATTGAATTATACCAATAAATCACGTAGAATTTATCTAAAGTTATTTTTCAATGGGTTAATGGACAGTGGTGTAATGAAGTTAAAAAATTTATTATATTTCCATTAAATTTAAAAAACATATAGGACCCCTTATAATTATCTCTATCAATTTTGTAATTAAAATTACAATTAAAGGTAGACATTCGTTTAGCGAAAAATGCGAAAAAAAAGTCTTTAACATTTTAATTCGCCTGCAGTTCAATATAGGCATTTCAAAGATGGTTTTTGCTATGATTTTTTACCATACATCGATATCTTCACTAATACCTGCAATTAACACTACCACTGTCCTTGAAACTGTGAAACTTCAAGAATATTATCAGTTTTAGCTGTAACGACAGAATTTCTTTTATTTTCTCAACTACTTTTATGTACTTCTGTGAAGATTTAAACTTATACTTTGTTTTTCAGTGATGTACGGTTCAACAAAATTAGAGATATTACACCAGGGACTTTTAAAGGTCATAAAATTTTACGGTCTCTTTTACTTAACAACAATTTGTTAAGAAGCTTGAAAAATGGTATCTTTAATGGACTTGTTCAGTTACGACATCTTTATCTTTACAAGAACAGAATAAAATACATCGAATCGGATGTTTTTCAAGGGTTGCCAAAGTTAGAACATTTGTAAGTATAAATAACAACGTAAATTTTAATAACAATTTGTATGTAATATAATATATTCTGGATAGATACTTGCACAACAATGATTTAGAAGAATTCAAAAGTGGAACTTTTTCCAATATTCCACATTTGGACCGGCTGTGAGTTATAATTATAAATATATATTTTTGCTTCTTGTATTATTCAATTCGTTTTCAGATTTCTTTACAATAATCGCATAAGTCACATACCCTCAGGCGCATTTCAAAATCTACCAAAGTTAAGACGGTTAAGACTAGACCAAAATGCTTTAGTGTGCGACTGTCGGATAGCCTGGTTTGCAAAAATGCTAAACGATAATACCGTCCATGTTGCTGCAAACTGTAAATATCCCCATGAAATGTATGGAAAATCCCTCAAGGGAATGACTTCACAAGATTTTCATTGTAGTTAGTTGCCATGGTCATTGTTTATAATTTAAAAATTAAAATTAGATTCATTTTAGAGGCCCCCGAAATAATGGAAGGTCCACAGGACGTGGAAATATCATGGGGTAGCACTGTTATATTCACATGTAAAGTAACAGGTGATCCGAAGCCGTCCATTTTTTGGATGCGCAATGATGAAGAAATAAAAATGAATAATGATAAATACACTATCATGGAAAATGGTTCTTTGCGTATAAAAAATACTGATGACAACGACAGAGGTCACTATGAATGTATGGCGAAAAATTCAGATGGAGAAGTGAAATCAAGACCAGCACGAATGATCCTGGTTCATCCAGAACGCTCTCGCAATGAATATGGTATAAAAATAATTTTAGTTTTTACATTCTAACTCTCATAAAAGTTTCAATGTTTAACATTAATGATACAGACGTTAGTAATTTTCTCTCAAAATCTGTTGAGAGAAAATTCGTGTATATACAAATATTTGGCTGTTAAATTGCATCTCTGAAACATCTCACGTGCTAAATTTGATCTTCAGTTCTAGGACGTCGAAAATAACACACGCTTCATTAAATGAGTCTGGCATGTTCTGCTATCCTTGTTCCTTTATTGTACTTAATTCTCATTGCATAAAAAATACGGCTAAATGCTTTCGTAACGTTCTAGGTATTTCACTCCTTACTTTCTCTTTACCTGTTTTTTAACTTTGCGCTTTTAGTTATGATGTTTCACTACACTCTCCCGTCGTGTCTTCAAGAATGTATGCACATGTTTTAAAACATTTTTACTTTACTTTTCTAAGTCTAAGTCCAAATTTTATTATTTTTTTATTCGTAGGTACTCCAGTTTTTCTCGTAACACCTACTAGTTTAACGGCAAGTGAGTCTACTCCTGAAATCAATCTACACTGCAAGGCCATTGGCAACCCTCGGCCAACAATAACCTGGTCACGAAACGGCATACAATTAATATCTTCCCAGAGGCATTTTATCGATGCTGAGGGAACATTAGTAATCCAACCTGTAAAAGCAAGCGATCATGGTACCTATCGATGTGATGCCACCAACAGCAACGGAAGAATAAGTGCCGAAGCGAATGTAATAATTAACGGTAAAAACAACACAAAAAATATCTGGGGATTCTAAATAATTACATTTACAGTCGCACCAGTTTTCACCGTACATCCTCAAAATATAGAAACAGATATCGATAGTACCATCAAATTAGAATGTGTGGCAGTTGGAACTCCTCCTCCAGAAATAGCATGGTATAAGGAAGATTCAAATATAGGATCAGATGATAGAGTATTTATATCGGATGATGGTCGATTTCTGGAAATTCGTAACGCCAAAGAATCAGATTCAGGGTTATATATATGTGAGGCCCACAATTCGATTGGTTTTAGGGAAGTGAGTGCCAAAATAACAGTGATTTCTCTTTCCCATAAACCCCCAAAATTTGTGTACAAACCATACAACATAGAAGCTTTAGTGGGTAGTACCGTAGAATTACCTTGCAAAGCCGAGGGCGATCCGACACCCGGGATACAATGGCAGAAAGATGGTGCCGCTCTTCAAAGAACCGGAAGAACGAAAGTCTCTTTAACCGGCAACTTGTACATATTTAATGTCGTTCCAGAAGATCAAGGTCGCTATGAATGTACAGCCATCAATGATCATGGGCGAGACTCAGCCTCGTGCTATGTTACAGTTAAAGAAAATCAAAATCCCACCGCTTTTGGTATAGGAGATAAATTTGTCAAGGTTGCTTTCATTGAAGCATCTCAAGAAGTCGACAAAGCAATAAACAAAACAATCGATAATTTATTTAAAAATAAAGGACCTCATAGTTCTGCAGAACTGTTCAGATTAATTCGGTTTCCTGATGCTCCTGCTCGAGAACTAGCCAGGGCTGCAGAAGTGTACGAACGGACGCTAGTAAACATTAGAAAGCATGTGGAGAAAGGAATGATTATGAACTCGACATCCGACTTTAATTACCGGGAGATTTTATCGCCTGATCATCTAAATTTGGTGGCTGAATTATCTGGATGTATGACTCATAGATTTTCTAGAAACTGCACCGACATGTGTTTCCATTCAAAGTATCGAAGTGCTGACGGTACGTGTAATAATTTACAACACCCTATGTGGGGAGCGTCATTAACCGGTTTTCGCAGAATTCTAAAACCTATCTACGAAAATGGTTTTGGTACACCTGTAGGTTGGAACAAAGAATTAAAATATTATGGCTACCCAAAACCAAATTCTCGTTTGGTTTCTACTACGCTTCTATCTACTACTAAAATAACTCACGATAACGAGATTACTCACATGGTCATGCAATGGGGTCAGTTCTTAGACCACGATTTAGACCATGCCATTCCTTCGGTCAGTTCTGAAAGTTGGGATGGTATAAACTGCAAGAAATCGTGCGATTATGCAGCACCGTGTTATCCGATGGACGTACCCCCAGGAGATCCGCGTGTCACAAACCGGCGATGCATTGACTTCGTAAGATCTTCCGCTATTTGCGGATCTGGCATGACTTCCGTATTCTTTGACAATATCCAACCACGTGAACAAATTAATCAGCTTACATCTTACATAGACGCTTCTCAAGTTTACGGGTACTCCGAAGAACTGGCTCGAGATCTTCGAGATTTGAATGGTGAGGGTGGTCGACTACGCGAGGGCGCGATATTTTCTGGCAGAAAACCTCTTCTTCCATATGCTGGAAATCAAGGTGTGGATTGCAGAAGAAACCTGTCAGAAAGTACCATCGCTTGTTTCGTTGCTGGTGATATTCGAGTCAATGAACAAGCAGCGCTTATAGCAATGCACACCTTGTGGATGCGAGAACACAACAGAATCGCTAGAGAATTAAAATTATTAAACCCCCATTGGGATGGCGACATGGTGTACCACGAAGCTCGCAAAATTGTAGGCAGCGCGATGCAACATATAACGTACAAACATTGGTTGCCTTTTATTGTCGGTCCAGAAGGTATAAAAATGTTGGGAGATTACCCAGGTTATGACCCTACAGTTCATCCAAGCATATCAAACGTATTTGCAACCGCAGCACTCAGATTCGGCCACACTCTTATCAATCCAATTCTTCATCGGTTCGATTGGGATTTTAAACCGATTAGAGAAGGTCATTTGCCTCTACATAAAGCGTTCTTTTCACCTTGGCGAATAGTTGAGGAAGGGGGCATAGACCCACTACTTCGCGGCTTGTTTTCTATTCCTGCGAAACTCAAGAAATCCGATCAGAATCTCAACAGCGAATTGACTGAGCAACTCTTCCAAACCGCACACGCCGTTGCGTTGGACTTGGCTGCCATGAATATTCATCGTTCTCGAGATCACGCGATACCGGGCTACATCGAATTTCGCAAATTCTGTAACATGACCCAGGTTGACACTTTCGATGATCTAAAGAACGAAATTACGGACCGTTCAGTATTGGGGAAACTGCAAAAGTTATATGGACATCCCGGAAATATAGATGTGTTTGTCGGCGGCATCTTGGAGGATCAAGTGAAAGGAGGACGTGTGGGCCCTCTATTCCGGTGTCTGCTCATTGAACAATTTAAACGTCTAAGAAACGGGGATCGATTCTTTTACGAAAATCCTTCCGTTTTTAAACCAGAACAACTTGTCCAAATAAAGCAGTATTCGTTAAGTCGAGTTCTATGTGATAACGGAGACAATATTACTAGAGTTACCAAAAATGCCTTTGTTCTTCCTGAGCTTCAAGGAGGATACAAGAATTGTGACGAAGTACCAAAAGTTGACTTGAGTTTATGGTCAGAATGTTGTAACGATTGTCGTTATTCGGGACAATTAAATACCATAAGTAGGTTGAACGCAAGAAATCGTCGTCACTTAGATGAACCTGCTAGTTTCAGTTATCGAAACTTGACCTTGCCAGAAAATTATTTTGAAGAAAACAGGAGGCTGAAAAAGAAACTATCTAAAATGGAGAAAGATTTAAGTAGCATGAAAGAAACCTTACACACTTTAGAACGAGTAATTAAAAAATTTGAGAAACAAAATTAAAATTAGATAATGTAGAAACTGTAATAACGAACGAAGCTGCCATTATGTTAAGTTAGTTTTATTTTTAGCACTGTACTGCCAAGATTTACTTAAATTTCACTTACTATTAGACCGTTGCGCATTTACCTTCTTGTGATAAACTAACAATACGTACCTAGTTGAAAGGATACTGTGAAAATTATGTCGAAAATAATAAATAGCCGACTTATATGTGTTAATTTGTTCTTTGTGTTTGTACCTTGCTTAAAAGAGAAAGCTACACGCCACACTTTTTTCTCAGGAGTGTAAAGTGGCAACTGTTCTGTAAACATTTACTAATAGATAAAAGTTTTACTTTTATCTTGGTTTTTTATTATTAATAAATAATCACCTTTGTGGTAACAAAAATATTAACAAAATATCTAAAAATTAAGGTATCGTAACCTACATAACTACAAACCCAATTAACGTGGCTTGTAAAAAATGATTTCTTTCGACAGTTTTAAAGTTTGTAAAATTGCAAATAACAATAAACGCTTGTAACACAAAATGAAAAAAATCAAGAAAAAAATTATGTTGGTAACGGCATAACAGTAACTTCACCTTTCTTAGGTTGTCAACCTGCTAATAATTGTCATCAAAGTTGACATTTGAATTTTAAAACTCTATAGTGTCACAGACATGAATTATTTCTTCGCCAACAGTTTAGGTTAATCTCCGTAAATCAATATTGAGTAGTGAGTGAGCTTATGTAGTTTGTAGACCTTGAAAAAGCTTGAAAAACCTGTGAAAATTTCAAAATTTCAAAGTTTGGCCTTGGCTGTGAGCGTCTAATAAATGGGAACCTACGTTGTGTTTTTTTTTTAAGTGGCGGGAAGGCGTTCTTTCATACAAATGAGTATACACTACGTGCGAGTAGAGAGCGCAAGAAATAATAGACAAAAATTTTCTGGAGGGGCTAAAATGGCACCCTTCTCAGGAGGAAAGAAGCTGCGAGTATTCACTCCTCAGCCCCAAAACCCCCCATCGTATATTCACGGACATTTTACATTTCAAATGAAACACCTTAAAAATATGAAAGAAAAGACACTCGCGAATTGACAGACATACACATATGAAAACCGAACAAACACAAAATCCTATACATCTGTTTGGAATCAATGCAAATATTTGAATATCACAAATTTAATAAAACAAAGCAAAATCTGAATTAAAGTAACTGGATGCAAATGCACAAGTTATTACAGGCGTGTTGCGTCAAATTTTAAAGTTGCGGCAGTTAATAGGAGCACAACAAAAGTACCCCTGAGGCATTCTAGCACAAGCGAAGTTTGGGGCTACCGGTCGGGGCTGTTCTCCCTCCTTGACGGCGATTCTATCTACAGCAAACCTACCCACACGACACATCTCCATGACGAACATGCCGTCCGAAACTAGGCCATTACGATCGCACTTCGCTTCTGTCACGTTTTTTGTGTTATTTAACCTCAGTTCCAGTTTAAATGTTCAGTCTCTTATAACTTTGATATTAACAACAACTGAACAGGTGTTAAAGTTTCAAAAGAGCAATAAACAACATTTAAATTCGCCATACAATCTTGCAAAATTTTAAACAACAATATAATTCTTATGTGAAATAAAAATTGAACATCAAATAATTTATACGATAGAAACATTCATCAACAAAATATTTACAAAACAAAACTAGCAAAGATTTATAAAAACAAAATATCTGGAGTGAAATAAACTTGTGTAAATAAAAATTGTAAAAATATTGTGCGCAGAGCATGAAATTTACGTTCATTGAAAATTATACAACAAAGAAAATTATTGAAATTAAAACTGTGAGATTGAGAAATATTGTATGAGGTAAAATATTGCAAAGTTAACAAAATCTACACGAGATTAATAATTGCCACACTTTATCAACGATTCAAACAAAGAGTTTACATTAGGTCAAATTATGTCATAATCCAAGTGATTGTTACTTAAAAACAATTTACTTTGAGAGTTTAGCATACCGCGAACTGGTTACCCCAACAAAACACATAATAAATAAACACAAAAATATCCAATCATCGTTGCGAGGAAAAGCGTCTCGGTGATGTATTTTTTTTATCGTTGTGAGGGAATACCTCGATGGTGTTATTAATCCCTAGCGTTGCGAGGATATGCCTCGATGAAGTAATCAATCTGTAGCGTTGTGAGGGATGTCTCGATGAAGTAATCAATCTGTAGCGTTGTGAGGGCATGCCTCGATGAAGTAATCAATCTGTAGAGTTGTGAGGGCAAGCCTCGATGATGTAATCAGTCTTCAGCGTTGCGAAGACAAGCCTCGATAATGTAATCAATCTTTAACGTTGCGAGGACATGCCCCAGTGATGCGATAATGATAACGATGATAACCACCTAAAGGAAGAAATCCGCCAGTTCGCGGTATGAATTAGTTTAACTGCCGTAAATTAACTATTAACACACTTGTGTGAAGAATTATGAAGTGTTATGTAACACTTACGCATATGCATCCAGAAACTCATTCGTAATTAAACAACAAAGGTATTTTCCTGACAAAGTGAATTTCATGAAATCTTCTAGCAAGTGATTTATTTAAATAATCCTGATTGTTAAATTGTGTTAGCACTAGCTGACGATTAAGAAAAACTAACTGGATTGGTTTTTTTCGATTAAAAACCGCAAGAATTAGCCGCGCGGATTGGGGAAAACTGTGTCGTCACAGAAGTTACGATTGATTGTCGTTAAACAAAGGCTTCCTCCCTTTTATTAACTATCAAACCAACTAATTTAAACTAGCTCTTACCACGTGTTTACATTCACAAAAACACATTCAAACTGACGCTCCGCCATGCCGCCCTCTATCTAACCACCAACCCTCTAACTAAAATCCCTAGCGCTACTAATTGTCCAACTATCCAGCAAGCGCTGCTGTACACCTGGTTGCCTATGTTTAACGATTTATGATTTGAATTCTTTTTTTTTCTTTCTCGAATTCAAATTATTCAAATGTGATTTCGTGCCGCTGTTAATTAATTTGAGCGCGAAAATTTTAATTTAAATTCGGTCACCACAAGTTACTAAAATAAATTGCTAAAATCCACGTTTACAATTCAAAATCCTATTATCGGTCAACACATTTTATTGTGTTCAGGCCTGGATGTTTACAAAAACCCCTAAAAAATCCCCTAAAGAAGTTTTGCCCCTAGATTTTCCCGAAATCCAAAACACTCCCCTAAATTTCACGGAAAATCCCCCGAGTTGGCAACACTGCATTCTGTCATTATTTTGGATCATATGTTTACCGTGATGTTTACAAATGGTTTACAATAACCTATAAACGAAGTGTGTTTATAAAAACATGTAACATATTCGGAAATAAAGTGTGAATTATTAGAGTGATCTATTAAACATGAGTGTGCAAGTGAAAAGTTTGGATCACATACAGTTAAACAATCGCGTTTCAACTAATTTTGCCTGCGAGTATTCAGAAGATGGCAAAATATTTCTGTTATTAGAAAACGGTGTGTGCATCTTAACATTAAAAGGGTGTATGGACAACATATTTCCCAGATTTTCATTTAAGAAAGATCTAGTAAAATTGTCAGATACGAGTATTTGCGAAAATGTGGATATTGATTTGTCATCATTTATTAACGATTTAAATCGCAACAGTTTGTATGAAACGGTATTAGATGTAGGTCTTTGTGGAAATGCAATCAACACAACACCTATCGCTGCTGCACCTGTGTATGCAATGTGGTCACCTCGAGGAATTGTCGAGAAGACAGATTGTGCATTAGCTATTTTAACCAGCTTAAATAACATTGAAATTTATGTAGAAGCTATTGATGAGAATGAAATCAGCAGTTTTATAAGAGTTGCGAATTTTGCTAAAGATATTTCAGAGTATTATAGACGAACATGGAAAAGGGTAGATGGTGCGAGCCCTGAATGTAAATTAATAGAATTAAAAAAAAGAATTGAACAAGTTACACCAACTGGTAAGTGAAACAGTAAAAAAACCAAAACTTTCTTGTCAAACTTTTTTTCCAGCTTTTACATGGAGTCATGTAATTCTTAAAGATAGAAAGGCATGTTGTGTTTTGTTTGTTGGCCATCAAGATGGTTCAATAACTGTGTGGAGATTTGTTGAGCGCAAAGCAAGTGAGGTCTATGAGTCAAAACTACAATTCTTAGAAAGGTACCACACTAAAATGAAAAAAATCACCTCCCTTCATTGGTTCTGCAGAAAATCAGACGGTAATGATAGACAACTACTCTTGTAATTATTTTAATATTATTTTTAGCTGGAGGGTTATCTATTGGAGATGTAAATGGGCACATTTGTGCTGTATCTGTATCAAAATTATCCACTGATAAAATCAAATTCAGTGAAGAAGTGGTTTTTAATGCAGAAAATGATTTAAAAGTGGATAAAATTTGCATTTTGAATCATCAAAATGTAACATACTTGATTGCAGTCAAACAAAATTACTTTCAAATATATGCAATAAATGAGTATGGCGACGTAATTGAAGGAAAGCTGATACAAGTAGGCAATTTATACATAACAGGTAATTTTTTTTACAATATAGATTATGTATCTGAAAAAACATTAAAAAAACTGTTGTGCCCGTAATATTTAAGATATTGAGTTGTTCTTGTGAATTAGATATACTAAAGCGCAGTATAGTAGCTTAAACGGTTTAAAAACTCCTTCATTAGGCTTGCTTCAGATAAATAAATTATTAATGGAAATTGCTTCAGCGCAGATACTGGTGGTACATCCACATCAAAAAAAGATTAATTATAAAGAGGCGATAGTTTTTTGCTTTAACTATTTTTACTTCCCGAGCGTAAGCAAAGGAAGTATTGTGATCGAGTCCGTCGGCCGACTCTGTACTTTTGCATTTTCTCAACCTATCATGACCCCTAGAGGAAGAAGTAGGTCTCCCGTTTCCGTCTGTCTGCCGTCCCGGATTTTTATTAGACAGATAATCTCCGAAAGTACTGGGCCGATTGTTGTCAAATTTTGTATTTATATTAGGTATATCATCTAGATGGTAAAACGCTAACCAAAATTTGTCTAATCATCCCCACCACTAATGTGATGACGTCATTTCAAAATTATACATAATAATTGAGTTTTAAATTGTATCAAATAACATAGTCTTACACATGTAGTTTAGGACTCCGAATTGAGATTTTACCCGAAACGTCCAGATTTTTGGAAAAAAAATGAAAATTAGGAAACATACATTTGGACATTTAATTTGGAATCTACAAAACCGAATGCTTTGAAATCTTGTAGATGGTTTACAGTTATGATAAGCATGATAAAATTTTGATCACAATATAATTACTTATCCCCTCCAAAAAATTGATGACGTCAGCTTAAAAGTTTGCCAAATAAATCTTATCTAAAATGTACAAAATATGATGAGTCTGTTCTTGTGATTTATCTTTCCGTTCATATTTTCTGGATTTGGATATGCAGGGTGACTCAAAAAAATTAATGGATACGTCAATGTATTTTATTGATTAAATCGGAAACTACAAAACCAAATGCTTTGAAGTCTTGGAGATATTTTAAAGTTTTTATAAGCATGGTAAATTTTTTACCAAAATAGATTTTCTCATTCCCCCTAAAAAGTTGATGACGTCACCCCAAAATGTTGCTGAATAAACCCTATCTAAAATGTACAAAATATATGATGAGTCTGTACTTGTGATTTATCATTCCATTCATATTTCTTTAATTCGGATATACAGGGTGACTCAAAAAAATTAATGAATGCGTGAATTTATTTTATTGATTTAATCAGGAACTACAAAACCGAATGCTTTGAAATCTTGGAGATGTTTTAAAGTTATCATAGGCATAGTAAATTTTTAGTCAAAATGTATTTGCTCCGCCCCTCCTAAAAAATTGATGACGTCACCTCAAAATTTTGCTGAATAAATGCTATCTTAAATGTGCAACAAAAAAACATAATAGACATGCAGTCGTCACGATTCCAACAGCGAGGGAAGTACTGTCTAAACTCTTTAGACCAATTTTTTTATAAGATATCGTTAATGCGTCAATTATTTTAAGTTTGACCTTTAATGTCCATGTTTATAAAAAAGTTGCTGTTATGAAATGTTCTAAAAACATTTTAAACGTAAAATATACAGGTGATCAAAAAATTGGCGCACATTATGAAGTTCACAAGTTTAAGTTCGAGAAAAACAAATAAACAAAAATTTTAGTATACGTCAAGTTTCACTCACGTTCACTTAAAAAATCAAAATATCGATTTAGACAGATGGATTTAAAAAGGTGAAATTTTTCAGCTACTGATAGATTCATTTTCAACAATTTTTAAGTTTATTTTATTATTTTTTATTTTAAGTGTACTTATTACAAAATGAAGAAAATGATGGTGAAAGCATATCATGTACCCAACGCTAAGTAGCAAATTAAAATATGGTGAAGTATTAGTCGTTAGAATGAGAAGAGTGGGTGGGGCTAGTACTCGCTACGATAAGACTGATTTTGGCAAATGACATACCTTCCAAGAAAAGAGAGGGTGGGTGGGCGGGGCTAGCACTTGTTAAGTTACGAATGATTTTTACTAGTCCCTCCTACCCATCCTTTATTTTCTTAGAGGGTATGGAATTTACCAAAATCAATCTTATCTTAGCAAATATTAGCTCCACCCACCCACCCTGTCTCCTTTTCAGTGATTGCTTTTATCCGATTTGAATGAAATAAATGATTTTATATTGAACAGAAATAAAATTACTCTTTAAAATGAGAAGAGGGTGGGTGGGCGGGGCTGGTACTTGCTAAGATACGAATAATTTTTACTAGTCCCTCCCACCCATCCTTTATTTTCTTAGAAGGTATGTCATTTACCAAAATCAATCTTATCTTAGCAAATATTAGCCCCGCCCACCCACCCTGTCTCCTTTTCAATGATTGCTTTTATCCGATTTGAATGAAATAAATGATCGTATACTAAGAAAAATAAAATTAGTCGTTAGACTGAGTAGAGTGGGTGGGGCTAGTACTTGCTAAGATAAGACTGATTTTGGCAAATTACATACCTTCCAATAAAGAGAGGGCGGGTGGGCGGGGCTAGTACTTGCTAAGATACGAATGTTTTTTACTAGTCCCTCCTACCCATCCTTTATTTTCTTAGAGGGTATGGAATTTACCAAAATCAATCTTATCTTAGCAAATATTAGCTCCACCCACCCACCCTGTCTCCTTTTCAGTGATTGCTTTTATCCGATTTGAATGAAATAAATGATTTTATATTGAACAGAAATAAAATTACTCTTTAAAATGAGAAGAGGGTGGGTGGGCGGGGCTGGTACTTGCTAAGATACGAATAATTTTTACTAGTCCCTCCCACCCATCCTTTATTTTCTTAGAGGGTATGTCATTTACCAAAATCAATCTTATCTTAGCAAATATTAGCCCCGCCCACCCACCCTGTCTCCTTTTCAATGATTGCTTTTATCCGATTTGAATGAAATAAATGATCGTATACTAAGAAAAATAAAATTAGTCGTTAGACTGAGTAGAGTGGGTGGGGCTAGTACTTGCTAAGATAAGACTGATTTTGGCAAATTACATACCTTCCAATAAAGAGAGGGCGGGTGGGCGGGGCTAGTACTTGCTAAGATACGAATGTTTTTTACTAGTCCCTCCCACCCATCCTTTATTTTCTTAGAGGGTATGTTATCTACCAAAATCAATCTTTCCTTAGCAGATACTAGTATCCTTCTAAATTGGGCCCAAGGATTTTAAAAATAATTTTTTCTTTACTCAATAAACACTCTTTAGGCCCAATTCCGTATCAGTATGTGTTAAAATTTAAAGGTTGCTAAAAATAAACAGCCAATTAATGCGTCACTTTTTGATGTACCCTGTAAATTTGGACAGAAATACAAGGATACTTTTTTTTAATATATGGAAGAAGAATGGACATGTATTTGATAGATAAATGAATAAATATTAGGAGTATTTATTAATGAACAAAATGTTACGAATTTATTTTTAATCAAATTATGTAATATACGAGTATTCTACCTGGGTAATTGTTTCAGGAGTGTTACACTATGAAAAAAATATATTATTGGTTCTTAGTGTGTGTGGCCAGATGAAGCAAATAGAATTTTCATTATCGAATAATGAAATCTGTTTTTCGGAAAAATTTATACAGCTTGACTTTGATACTAACAAATATCGAACACATGGGTTCCTGTTATCTCCAAACAAAGTTTTTTTGGGAGTTCTTTCATATCCTTGTCATTTAAAAGATGTCAGCAAAGGAAAGAATTTCGTCAACTTTTTCATTCTCAAGAATAAATCAAAAGATCCATTTGAAACACTTATGAATATATCAGCTACGACTATAAGAGACTATTGGGACTGCTTTGAAACTTTAAGGTAAGAAAAACTTCCATTGTCAGAGTTTATCATAGATTTATAATCCATAAAATACTCAAATATGGTGTGTACCAAAAAAAGTTTTCCCCAAACCTGGTTTGTAAATAAAGTATTACTCCATTAGTTTGTAGGCCATAGAAAATGATGCGTAGTATTTTTCAAAATAATAATAATAATCAGATACATGTTTTTAAACAAAATTAAACCAGTTTGAATATCTTGTAACTCATCGATTTTTTTACAGTACTGAAAATACTGCAATGCGATGTATATAGGTTGAAGGTACTTTGAAGTGTAGTTTAATGTTGTTTAAACTCGGATAGTAAAAATAACTAATGCTGTCTAAAATTAAACACTAATCAAATCTGTTTAATTTACTTAACTACACTTTAGAAATTGTGAATATAACTCGGACATTTTAACCCTTGCTACAATAAATAAATACCTGCCTGTTTACCATAATTCTTTAATATGAAAATTAAGACTATTTTTTGCACCATTCACAATGGAGGGTATTTATTTATTTATCTGTAATGTTTTAGGGTTACTTGTCTACAAGAAAAAGTATTTCCTTGGAAAGGTATCGATCCCAACTTGAACTATGACACCTTGCCGTTGCTGAAGCTAAAAATATTGAGGTGGATTTCGAAACTTTCTGAAAAAATCTATCCAATGATTGCACGAGTAGAAGAGTACCATATCAAAGCTTATGTACTTCTAAACTATGCAGTAGACATAAAATTAGCCGTTCAAAGGATGACTAAATTACTGAATGTTTATTTTTCTGAAAAAAAACTTTCATTATTTCAGATGCAAAGTTTAGACCTCCTTAATTTCTTTTTGAAGGAAATGGTTGTTACAGATGTACTAACAAAGGCGAATTTAGGAGAAGTATTTGTGGATGAAATGTACAACGTTATGAAAATAGCAAATGAATTACAATACCCGCCTATGCCTCAATGTTTATGGTGTGGAGAAAATATCCTTTTTTTTCTTGATTATGCAAGATTACGTTAAAAAAACAATTAGTCAAATTTCTGTGATATTCAACTACTTGCAACACCATAAAGGATTACTAGAATTGATCATTTTCTAAATATTTCCTCGCTTAATACAAAACTAATCTAATACCAGAGGTAAACAGTTTTTAAAATTTTCGTAGTGACACAACTTCAGAGGTGACTAATTTAGTTCAGAATTTCCGCTCATTCGCAGTATAACCGCACACAACTACCGGAGCGATCTCCCCAAATCACTCAAGTGCGCATGAGTAGATGAATGAATTTTAAGGAAACTTTGAATGGTTGTCAAATAATTTGGAAGCAAGGTGTCTTTTTCACTGTCGGCTCCTCGCGAGGGGGAATGGGAAAGACAGCAAAAAAAAAAACAACATAAAAACGACTGATTCCAGTATCCGTTTAATTGTTGCAAGCACGAATTTGAATATCAAGAAAATTCACAACTTTGATTTAACGTAAACACATGCACTGATTTTTACTTATACAAAGATTTTTGAAAACTTCCTTAATTTTCACACAGATAATAGGAACTTCTTGTGTGCCATACCATCTGGACAGTAGATGTGCCATATCGTTGATGCCTCTTCACATAACACCTGGTTACAAGTGCCCATTTTGCAAATGTGTAGTTAGTAAAGACATGGACAAAGAATATTATCCAATATTTTGTCCCTACTGTGACATACCAATGAAACGACGACATTTTGATAAAAAGTATAAAAAAACTACGGACGATACTCTCGAAGTTACAAAACTTGATGACATCGTAACATCCGACTGTAACATTGACTGTTTGAAGGAAGAAATACATTTCAGTGATATTGAAGAAAATACAACCGATTATGTCGTTTTAACTGACAGCGAAGACGAAAGAGACGATTCAGTTAGAGAACTACATTACAAAATTAAGAAAATTGCATTAGCAACCGCACCTGAAGAACTAGAGCAAATAATTTTTTCAGCTGACGCTGGAAATATGGAAATTGAATCAGGAAAAAGTCAACTGAAGTCCCACAATGGAGAATCAGACGATGAATACGACGAAGAAGAAGAACATGTTAATGACGAAGAGGAAGGGGACAATGGTATTGAGGAAGAAGAGTGTGATGGGAATGAAGATGAAGCTGAATAAGGTAAAAACCTGAAATTTTTTACTATATTAATGTGAATAATATCTTCATCCTGAGAAAATTCGTTCCAAAACAAGGTGGTAGTGACCGTTTTGTATTGACACTTAACATTATATTTAACGATACCTTTTAGGATTTTGCGATGTATGGAACTACATTTAAATTGGAAATTGTGGACACTTCCATCTTCAGATTATGATTGAAAGTTATAATATGAATAAAAGAGATATGATGATTGTATGTTTTTAATAAAATAGAAAAAATAATAAATTTTATCTTTTTTATAATTTTTACGACGGCAGTGTTGTACATAAATTCACCTCGCTAATATATGTTATACAAACAGTGTTCGTTAAATACGTGGTTGTTTTCCCAGTACCTGATATTGTTAATGTTCCTGCTATTCGCGTTCGGTTCACATTCCAACCTATAACTAGACCAGTATGAATTGTAATAGTTATTGTTTATATAAGTTTGTGGATAATTATTGCTGTTGTAATTGTTATTGCTATAACGATCTTGATAAAGGCAAGCAGCAGTATCGTTCTCAGGCAAAAAAATTCTTCGATAATTTAAATGGTTGCTTCCATTTCCCATTAAAGTTCCTGTTAGTAGATTTGCAGTGGTTTGACTCAAATCTCTGCTTAAAATCTTTATAAACCGTGTCAGCTCCATCGGTCTACCTTCCTGAAGTGTTTGAGACATAGCTAAAATGTAGTTTCTTGCTAATCGTAATGTTTCGATTTTAGAAAGTTTTTGTGGAGCAGAATTTAAGTCAGAATGAGTTTGTTGAATTGGCATTCGGCTGAAATACACACTAAATTAACATTACAATTTGTAATCGAATTCATATATTTTAAATAAATGATTCAAAACATTAATTTTAAGTCTACATCAAAATAATTGAGCTGAAATTCCTACTTTCTTAATCTGTCTAGGGCAGCATTTAATCCATGCATCCTATTCCTCTCTCGGGCATTCGCTTTAGATCGTCGTAACTTCACTTTGTATACTCTAGATTTCACCTCTTTTCTTTCACAATTTTTATCAGACGTGTCCATTACATACAATAAAATTATTACAATAGTCCATAGCTGGTCCCAGAAATCCTTTTATATAAGGCCGTCGCGGTCTTATCATGGTTTTTGTTTACTTTTTGATTTTCCACTTAATTGAACAGGTTTGAGGTATCAAGTGCAGATAGATAATGTAATACTGGGTGCCGATATTGTTGACATATCTCACCATATGCCAACAGACATATGGTGCGTGGGAACGATTGTAATAATAAAATTTATTACGGAACAATTAATAAGAGGCTGTATCTTTCGTATACGTGTGAGGGTTAATGTAACATATGTGTTCATCTGATAGCAAAGGGTTAAATGATAGCAGCTAAAATGATAAAAAAAACTGATAAATATAATATATGTGTATGTGTAGATATAATCCAGCGTCGCTGCGAATAAGCCTCTACGGTATACGTGAATTTAAAAAACTCAATTTACTACATAATTTCGTTTTTTGGTTATTAGTAAATTCAAGACTACGAAACACAAATTTAAAGATGTGGAACTTTGACCAAGAAAAGTGAAAAAATATTTGTGACAACCGCATAAGTTGCAAAAAAATCCAAAAATACGTGCCAGGAAGAACGTTTTACATCTTTTTAAGTGTATTGATGAATACTCGATTACAGTACTTCCTTCGTATATTGTAATCGAGTCCGTCGGCCGACCCTCTACTTTTACGATTTCTCGACCATTCATGACCCCTAGAGTAGAAGAAATAAGTATCCCGTTTCCGTCTGTCTGTCATCTGTCCGTCTGTCTGCCGTCCCGGATTTGTATTAGACAGATAATCTTAAAAAGTACTGGGCCGATTGTTGTCAAATTTTGTATTTATGTTAGTAATTATTATTATTATTAACCTATAAGCGTCACTGTTCCCAATTACGAACCATAAGAACATGAATACCAAAAAAACACATAAATACATAATTGTCCATTTAACGAAAGAAAAAGAAAAAAATCGAAAAAAAATAACTCAAATGTGTAGTAACAGCTGAAAATTTAATTTTTAACCAATAGAAAACCAACTTCAATCTCAAGAAGACGATCAGAAATCACTACCGAAAAAATAATTTGTTAGAGTGCTTGGCCACTATCCTGTAAATGCTAAAACGCTAACCAAAATTTGTCTAATCATCCCCACCAACAATGTGATGACGTCACTTTAAAATTGCACATACTGAATGGGTTTTAAATTGTATAAAATAACATAGTCCTACACATGTAGTTTATGATTCCCTATTGAATTTTTACCCGAAACGCCCAGAAAACATTCTGCAATTTAATTGTGAATCTGGGAAAAATCGAATGCTTTGAATTTTCGCATATATGATAAGCTTGATAAATTTTTAATCAAAATACATTTACTTACCCCCTCCAAAAAATTGATGACGTCAGCTCAAAATTTTGACCCATAAATTCTATCTAAAATTGTAAAATATGATCAGTCTATACTTGTTATTTATCGTTGGATTCATATTTTTTCGATTTGCTTAACAGGGTGACTCAAAAAAATAAATAATACTTTGCAATCTTGCAGACGAGTTACAGTTAAATTGTTAATGGAACCATATCTGTTTATCCCCCAAAAAATTGATGACGTCATCTCAAAATTTTGCCGAATAAATTCTACCCAAAATGTGCAAAATATGATGAGTTTGTACACTTGTGATTTATCATTGTATTCATATTTTTACTTCCCGAGCGTAAGCAAAGGAAGTATTGTAATCGAGTCCGTCGGCCGACTCTCTACTTTTACGTTTTCTCGGCCTTTCAGGACCCCTAGAGGAGGAAGAAATAGGTCTCCCGTTTCCGTCTGTCTGCCGTCCTGGATTTTTATTAGATAGATAACCTCCGAAACTACTGGACTGATTGTTGCGAAATTTTGTATTTGTATTAGGAATATCATGTAGATGGTAAAACGCTAACCAAAATTTGTCTAATCATCCCCACCACTAATTCGATGACATCAGTTCAAAATTGTGCATAGTAAATGGGTTTTAAATTGTATGAAATAACATAGTCCTACACATGTAGTTTATAACTCCGAATTGAGTTTTTACCTGAAACGTCCATATTTTTGAAAAAAAAATCAAAATTATGAAACAACATTTTGCAATTTAATTTTGAATCTGCAAAACCGAATGCTTTGAAATCTTGCAGATGGTTTACAGTTATGACAAGCATGATAAATTTTTAATCAAAATATATTTACTTATCCCCCCAAAAAATTGATGACGTCAGCTCAAAAGTTTGCCGAATAAATCCTATCTAAAATGTACAAAATATGATAAGTCTGTACTTGTAATGTATCATTCCATTCATATTTTTTGGATTTGCATATACAGGGTGACTCAAAAAAATTAATGAATGCGTGAATTTATTTTATTGATTTAATCAGGAACTACAAAACCGAATGCTTTGAAATCTTGGACATGTTTTAAAATTATCATAGCATGGTAAATTTATGGTCAAAATGTATTTGCTCATCCCCCCCTAAAAAATTGATGACGTCACCTCAAAATTTTGCTGTATAAATCCTATGTTAAATGTGCAAAATATGATGAGTCTGTGGTTGTGATTTATCATTCCATTCATATTTTTTGGATCTGCGTATACAGGGTGACTCAAAAAAATTAATGAATGCGTGAATTTATTTTTTTGATTTAATCAGGAACTACAAAACCGAATGCTTTGAAATCTTGGAGATGTTTTAAATTTATCATAAGCATGGTAAAATTTTGATCAAAATGTATTTGCTCATCCCCCATAAAAATTTCATGACGCCACCACAAAATTTTGCTGCAAAAATGATTAAATGTGTGAAGAATGATAAGTGATGAGTTTATACTTGTGATTTATCCCTGCATTAATATTTTTTAGATTGGCTTATACAGGGTGTCTGAAATAAATTAATGACTAAGGGGCCAATTCCAAGTTGGTGGCGCAAGTCACTGGTGCAGCGCAACTTTATAATGCTAATTTGGGTATCAAATGCTGGTTGCTAGGGGTGACGGAATAAACAAGCGCAATTTTTCGAATTTTCCATTGAAATTTGCACCATGGAGTTGCGGCACCTCTAGTAGGCAGTGCAAGTTGGCGCAATTTATCTCGAAAAATTGCGCTTGTTTATTCCGTCACCCCTAGCAACCAGCATTTGATACCCAAATTAGCATTATAAAGTTGCGCTGCACCAGTGACTTGCGCCACCAACTTGGAATTGGCCCCTGAGTCAATTAATTTTATTGATTAAATCAAGAATTGCAAAAATGTAACACGAAAAAAGACATAATAGGCTTGCAGTCGTCACGTTCCCGACAGCGAGGGAAGTACTGTCTAAACTCTTTAGACCAATTTTTTAATTTTGCTTAAACAGGTGGGTCAAAGAAGTAATAAATGAATCAGTTTATTTTATTGATTAAATCAGGAACGGCTCACTCCATTTTCACAGAAAATTTTGGGAATACAATACAATTATTTTTAGTATTTCACTGCACCAATCGAAGTTGATATACGTGTCCTTGTTTTTTCTTGCACTGGTACCCAATACGCTGTGACTACTTTTTTTTTGTGCTGTGACTAGTATTATCATTGCCAAAGGGTGGCGACCTTGGAGTTGAGAACTCTGCGGACCACCACATGTATGCACATGACCAGTGCGGCACAGTGTCGATCAATTCGTTGGCCGACTACACTGCATTGGGATCGCAGTCTTATCGCTCGTTCTTCAGGTGCAATACGCACCTGGTACATACGCGTCGAGTACTCCTTGTACATCAAACGCTTAGAAGTGGCGCAGTCGAGGCAGTATTCATTTGTAAAATAGCAAATTAGTAACAAAAATGTGTTTGACATTTTAGTTTATTTTTATTTATATATATCTGTGTGGAGGTTTTTCAGTATACTTTTCATTTTTACGAATCTTATTTTGATTTTTTTATTTCATTTTTAATAGAAGCAGCATTTTATATTATTTTTTTATAATATTTAACATTGCACAAAATTGTCAAGATTCATCGAAAACTATAGGTTATTTGCACTCTGAAACTTTAAAGTTGCATGGTGCTTTATCAAAATTTCAAAATATTGTGACCCAATTTAAAAGGCTTCCAGGTGAATTTGGGAAGAAGTTAAAAATGAAAGTAGAATCTGTGTTTAGTAGCACTCCCGGTTTAAACACTGCATCAAGTTTGCGACGGCATGACAGAGCCAAACATTAGAACAAAATACATATTAAAATTTCCTCTCATTTTTTAATTACAGCCCCACAACCAGTTGTGACGTGGATCGTTCATGTTCTAAATTGAAAGATTTATTAACCCTCAAAAGAACACGTTTTACAGAGGAAAATCTCGAGCGAGCTCTTGACCTCGAGCGCGCTGCGAAAACTGTGTGTACGGCTCTGAATTAAAACGGCTTCGCCATTCTCTGATCATTGTGGTTTAATTAATAATTTTAGTCCTGTGTTTTGAGAACACAAACTCATTGAAATCAAACTATTTTCTACGTGACATTCTTTCGATGTATAATCATAAATCAACAGTTGAATGTCAGATTGCTGTTACCTAGTGTTGAAGGACAAGGGTTGTTAGAGATGGAGTATTTTAAGTTCAACATGGTGAGTCATCAGAATCTGACAACGGACTGTCAGTCAGTAGCGTAACATGCACACTTCAGAAGGGGGTGGTTTTTAAATGTATTTTTTTTATCGCAAACAATAACACGCGGAAACATAAACTTAAGTGAACTGGTCAACACGGTAGCACGAATGCGGATGAATCTATTAGGCATTAATCTAAACAGGCACAAGTAACGATGACGGACGCTTTTGAGGGTACGCACATTCGAAAATGCTGGATATGTTTCATTGTATTTCAGGAGCGAGGGAAATTCTGTCGAAACAACTTTCGACCAATTATTATGTATGTCGTGTGGATGGTAAAACCAGAGAACATATGTTCTCTCGTAAAACGCTGACCAAAATTGACGTCACCTCACAATTTTGACGGTAAATGCTGTTTAAATTTCATAAAGTAGCATACTTCTGTACTTGCGGTTTATTATTCCGCTTTGAATTTTTACCCTAAGCATTCAAATTTTTCGCAAAAAAAACTAAATTATGCAATAACATTTTATAACATGTTTCTAATGATAAAAAAACTATGGACGATGAGTATAGTAATAACAACATTTTAGAATTTTACTTTATTGCACACTAACAAAATATAACAATCTTTAAATATTGATAAGTATTCACAAATATATATATAAGTATGTATTAATATAAACAGGCACATATAAATTAGTTATGTAGTATACACTTGAGAATAACACATAGCTTAGAGAAAAATCTAGGTTAACAACAGATCAACTGAAGACATGAAATCAGCAATACTTTGGTGTTTCAAAAGATTAAACATCTACTGTGAAATTTGATCACATATTTCCTAGAAAGACTACAAAGTCGACGTTAAAATTACATTTATTTTTCTTCATATAACTTTGGTAACTCAGCTTCCAAGCGTATGACTTTTATATTTGAAACCAAAGACCACTCCTCCGAATCTTCTTTTTTAACAAAACCACTTGAATAACTTATTAGTTCTTGACTTCCATCCTGATCCAAATCACCTACTAATATCGAGTTTTCTTGGCTTCTCAGGTCAGGCTGACATACATATTCTTTGTCAGACGGCAAACATAGTTGGTTAATTTCAGTCAAACTGGCATTAATTACATGCACATTGGTACTATTAAACGTGATAAGTACAACCCTCTCACTAATTACATTTGGAACATATGTTGTATTTTTTGAAAATATTGAACGTTTGACAGATTTATAATTTGAATTTCTTTTACTAGCTACGTTTGTGGCTGGCCATTGCCATATCTTAAGAATAAAACCATTAATGTGGCCTTTAAACAAATCTAAATTTGACTGAGTGGCTTGAAAATGAAATACTTTAGGATTCATAATGTAAGCATTGTTAAATTGCCAAGTCTTTTTCTTTTTTGCATTAGCTTCAGCTAAATCAACAGTTGCATGGCAATCTGGACAAACTCCTCCATTATTCACTGTTAACTTTCTGTTTTCAACTGTGTATGTGTTTTCATCGTCCGGTGGATTTTGCGTTTTTATTGGTAAAATGGGCAAAGAAGCATTATTGTAACGTTTCTTCATAAGAGCAAATGCAATTTTCATGGTAGTAATGCTACGATCATTTATGCAGGTAAAAAGAAGCTGACTATTTTTGCTTGTGAGATCAGAAATCTCATCACAGTTATTTATTATTACATTGCTGATCGCTTTTCCGGATTTGCCACAAATTAACATCAAGGTTCTTCTATTGAAAATTGCGACTAGCTCATTTACATGATCGCCGTTGAAATCTGGTAACTGAGTGGGAAAATCTAATCGGTTAATAGTTGTTCTCTCTTCATGACTATGGGCGTGCCAGATAACTTGTCCCGAAATTGTTTCAATAGCTTTTAAGCCCCTCTCATCTAGCAATAGACAGTCACTAACGCCATTGCCATCTACATCTAGAAGAGAACAATCTAACCTAATAGGAACAACCTCTTGTCAGAAATACCAGGCCACGTTTCCACTGTTTCCCAAAAACGAAATGGCTCCATTCTTTAAAATTTTTGAAGAGCGAACATCTCCTTGAAAAAGAATTGCAAGATTTAAATTGTTTTGATTTAAACCATGCACCAAGTTAATATCCCCCTTTAATTCAATGTCATCTTGCTTGTTTTCCCAGTTGTTTGTTTTTACTGGACACGTGTGTGATGCAGAACAGGGCAAGAACCACAAAAATACTACTATTGGTAAAAGACATAGAATAATAGATGCGACGAAAGCTACTTTACGAAGAGTTGACATTTTAGGAGGGCCTCGTTTGATTTGTAGCAAATCATCTCCAAGATGAATAAAGCTGGTAGAATTGTTATGTAATTTTCTCTTAAGATCAAAACTATCTCCATTCTGGACTGCTTTCTTTGAATAATTTGGGCAGACTGCGTCCATATGCAATTCTTTTTCTGAGTCGGAATCACTGATTGATTGCGGTAGAGGTGAGTAAACTCCTTGTGATGAATGTGCCATTATTTCTGTAATTAACGATAGAACGAAATGTTTGTATTTAAATAAACACAGAAGTACGTCTGTGCTCAATGAGCACCGGCAATTTTCTCGATCACGATTTTTTACTTTTTTGTTTCTACATTAAATCCACGTCCGACGTTGTCCACACCTTTATTAAAAATAACAGTTGTTATCACGGTTTGATTTTTGATTTTAATTATTTCGGAAACTGTTTACTTACTTCTGCATGACATTTATTAACTTGTCAAATGTCAAATCACGAACGTCAAAATTATCAATAAAATTTACTAAACACGAAGAAATAGTGCGCATAATCCAGGTAATAAGAGGACCATTCAGGGACCACTGCATTTTGTTACAATAAAGAATTAACATTTTAATAACGACATGAAAAATTAGACGTTATATATGATAATACATAACAATTAATTTATTTTGAAAGCATTCATTGAACTAATTATTTGAAGTAGGTAGTAAAACAACTAACCAATAATATTTCATTGTTGGTCAGATTGTTGTCGAAAGTAACCGATGTTGTTCGAGTCGGGTGATCTGGTAGTTGTCAAAATCGGCTTTCTGTCATTTTTTTTCATTTCTTCATGGTGTGAACGTTATGGGGTGTTGAACATTTTGTGAAGTAAAATCTAAAGTTGAAGGGAAGAAATGGAAATGTTATCGTCAAGGGTAGCTCTCGGAATAGCAGCTGGAGTTTGCGGCACGTTATTTTTAGGATATTGCATATATTTTGATCACCAAAGACACAGCGACCCTGAATTCAAAAAGAAGCTACACGAACGTGAGTACACGAAATGAGATTTAATCATGACGAAAAGGCTTTGATGTCATTCTTTTGTAATTAATAGGACGACGAGCCAAAAAAATGGCAGCATCCTCGACCAAACGCACAACCGTTTTCCCAGACATGAAAGATCACGAAGCTGTCCAAAGATTCTTTTTGCAAGAGATTCAGCTGGGTGAGGAATTGCTCGCAGTCGGTGACTTGGAAAACGGCGTTGATCACATTGGAAATGCTGTGGCTGTTTGCGGACAACCAAATGACTTACTTAACCTCTTACAGCAAACTTTGCAACCACAAGCTTTCCACCTCCTCATTCAAAGACTGCCAGCTGTGGCTCCTCGAATTGTTAAAGCGACTCCTGCTATGCAGGAAGAAGATGTGGAGTAGTTTAAATGCCTTCACTAGTCTCATTTTAGATGGTTTCATTATTACATCAATAAAAATTGTTACGAATTGCAATATACTAGATGAATGTTTTGTATGTTTTTATTTGGTGTAATGATTTTTCTGTAAATAAAACTACGACTGTAACGAACACCCATTGAGAAGGCAGTCGTTACTGATTGCTGCAAATATCAAACTTTTAATCTTGTAGTAGCTCATCTGTTGCAGTCATCGTACGATTTCTTTGTGCAGATTGTGCCTTGAGTAAAGTTTATTTTCAATTATTTCATCTATTACTGTGTGTGTTCCCTGTGATCCCCGCAACTGCAGCCAATTCATATCCAAAAGTATAATCATGTAATTGACACAAAATACTTTCGATGGATGAAAATTATTTTTAATTGATTTACCATTAAATTACACAATGTTTTTACAGTATACACTACAATACAATAGTAATAAAACACTTTGGATACAATTTAAAAATGAAGCTTTATTAAATATTCAAATACTTATATAAATAATACACCTTGGTAGGTCGGTGCGTTGAGTAGACAAGACAGTCGTAACTTAAAGGAGAATAGCAACAGGTTACTGACGGTCAGTGGCTCTGAGCTTTTCTTCCACAGCCTCCTGGCTAGCTTCAGACAGGTCCGTCGCCTGTATGTACTTCTGTACACCTACCAATGATTTCTTAAGAGCATCAAATGAGCTGCAAGAAAATCAACACTTAAATAACGAAAAACAAAAGAAAGGATCAATAAACCTTGAATACAACATCTTCTTCTTAACTTTGGCGGTATCAGGGCACCAGGACATTAAGAACAATTTTTGTTTCTTAGAAGACTCCGATGTGCCTTGACACTGATGCATGTATTCAAAGTCATAGAGACCATAGCGACATTCTCCCGCTCCTCCTGCTTGTAAATTTTGAAGGAATTGGTCGTACTCTTCATCCCGAGCTCCTATTACCTCCACATCAATTTGTCTTTCATCCTTGATGAAAAAGATCACATAGCGATGCTTCTTGTCTTTCTTTATTTCCTCATACGTTGTCTTACACGCATCAGAAACGGTGACACCCGATGCCTAGAAATAAAGAAGAAAACTATTAATGAGGTCCCACAAGTATTTCCCTATTCATGTATTTTTTTTTTTAGTAACTAGTAACAAAAATCTAAAACTTGCTTCAGCAAAAGTTTGCGATCTCGTTAAATTCATCTATAATGATAAACGATAGTTTTACTTTATTTAAATAATGACCATATTCAGTAATTGACACTGACATCTCCTCGTAATTTTTTCTACAACTTGATTTTTGCTTCCTCAACATCCACAACAAAAAAGTGATAAACAGGTTTTTCGGTAAAGCAACTGGTGTTATTTTATAAACAATTTTTTATTTCAAAATGATAGTTCGTTTATTGATGACCTTTCTTTGGCCTACTTAATTTTTACAGCACCTTACTTTCAATGTAAAATTTTTGATATTTTTAAGTTTCCTACTATTTTGGTAATATTTGCAGTGGGGTTGCTAGTTTTAACAATTTTTAATTCTAATAATGAAAAAGGACGATCACCAACTCCGGTCCAAGGCCATATCTCGTTAATCTGTTACCCGGAGTGCCTTAATCCCTCGCCTTAATTCCGACCCAAACTGATAAGAGAACCTATTGTAAGGAAGTTAGAGAATGCCAGACTTCTATGTCCTAAAAAATTTTACTTTTTTCATACAACCATTATGTTGTGCTTTATAACTCCATAAATGCGAATACTGTTCACATAAACAATTATTACAATAATTTTTAAAAACGAATGAATGTGTTTCCGCACTAAACAAGCGTAATTAGAATCGGGTAGATATTTCTCGGAGCGAGTTAATGTCATGCCCAAGGAGCGAAGATGACCGCGGATCGGAGCTAAGGTGTCGGAACGCCCGACCTGGACCGGAGTTAAGATTCTCCGCTAGCAATTTGATAATACAGCTGCCACTAACTATGTTCACTTTTAAAGCCTCGTCCAAGTACTTATGCCCTCAACGAGGTTAAACCCAATACATTATTTTCAATTACAGTTACAATATATAGAATAATCAGAAAATTATACACTATGCTTTTTTAATTAAAAATCTGACATATTACTATGATTAAATAATTTGATTGATATGTATCTACAAGGGGAGAAAGTTTTGTTGCATTTCATGTAACGCTTTTCGACTTGTTGAGAAGCTTCCTAAAAACGCAGCAACACTTTTTTTGCAATTTCTCTTCTATTGATCGGGGTATAATTATATAACGAAATTCAAAGAATACAAAATTGGCACGAATACATCTTTTGGGAAATATTAAGGGCATGAATGTTAACAAACGGTAGAAATGATAACCGACTTCCTTTATTTGTACTTACTCTGAACTAAATTTTGTCAAGATTCGATAACGCTGTTTGTCAGTTAAATATATCTCTATGTCGAGTCTTATCTTAAAAACACAACATCTGCGAATAAAAAAAATCTTCCTGGATTTCGTTTATGACTTTGAAACGGAATCGAGTAATCTTCGATAAATCAGTACTTGAACAGACAAAAACTAATTTCAATAATCCTACAAGCCAAAATAAAAACAATACAGTTTAGTCGAGAGTAATTCAACAATGACATTAACAATAGAACACCTTAAAAGGAGATTTTCTACTGGAATATTTTAACCTTAATCAAACACTGTCCAACTTGCAAATTTTTAGAACAATCTCAGGAACTTAATATTAACTATCAAATGTATTTGATAAAGTTTTTTTTTTAAGTAAAACAAATTATTCGTTCAAACTTATTTCTCATATGTCTAGTCAACGAAGACAATACGTTCTGCATACTACTGGGAAACGGGAGTATTTAAAAACAAACTTCGAGTACAACACGGTGAACCGCGTTCAAAACAACACAATGTTTAGAATATCGTAACGTAAAAGGTACAAATACAATTTGTTTATCGTACTGTGCATATCAATTTTACAGTTAAAAATGAATATGGAACACTATATAAAAAAAAATCTCATTGGGAAATCTATACTTCTAGATGATTTGATTGATTAAAATATAAACTGTACTGGCATTAAAAAACACCAGTCACAAATTGGTAGTAATTTCCAATGAGTTACTATTTACGTTAGATTTTGTGGTAATCCTTATCTTTCCACGTACTAAAAGTGTCCATAATTTCCGGCGAATAATGCTTAACAAAATGGCGCAAATTTTTTGCACAACACAGTATTTTATTGATTTGGCTACGTTATTGCTGTCTAGCAACAACAAAAGAAAAGGGCCGTGAACTTTTGGCGTTAGTCACAGAGTTTGGCGTCGAGATAAGCTTCAATAAACAAAACCATGATACTGGTTGTGATACATTTTTTGTTGTTTTACGTTTTCCAAATTTGGTAAAAAGTTATATTAATGTGCTATTTTTATAGAGGTCACATGGAGCTTATTTTTAGCGTTTCGTAAAGCATGGGACATCACGTTTTACGTCCGCTATAGTTTTATGCAATTTGAGTTAATTAATAAACGGCCCGAAGATATCGGATGTCACGTATCCATATAAATCCGTGAAACCTCCCAGTAGATGAGTGAAACCGGGTGCATTGACAATATTTTATTCCTCATATAACCTTGGCGGTGAAATTGTAAAAGAATGAATCATAACATGCAACTAGGTGGTGAATTAACAAACTTATTAGAAGACTTTGCAGACACGTTGATGCATGCACTTGACGAATTGGTAAATGGGCGAGGCATGCAATTTGGTGGAGTTTTTGCATAAAAATCTCTCCGACCTCCTTCGTTTGGTCGAATTTGGTGTTGGCAATGTGCAAAACCTACGGCCTTTATGAAAAATTGTTATATTTGGCAATGTATGCGAAATCTTTAACATGGCCGCCAGCGCTAAATTAGCGGTGTCAAAATTTTCTAACGGTTGAACAGGCGGATGATGAGAGAAGCGTGCGAATGTAGCATTTTCGGAAAGCACTTACCATTTTGAATTATCTAAGAAGAACAATAATTTTCACAATATTGAACTGCCAGACGTAATGAATTAAAAACGACTGTGCCGTGTGCTGTTACTTCGCTTTGGAGGTCTAGAGCGGACGTTGATCTGCCGGTATGCGAGGAGTGCGCCTGCGTAAGAGAAATTAATTACTACGCCGCCACCAAATTTACTAATAATAACTAAATAAACGCTAATACCTAATTTAATGTAAATCCTGGAAGTTTATTTACCTGTTTTCTTACAAAGCAGCACCAGCTGTTGGTTACTTTCTGCAAGGTTTGGGAGATTCACCAGAATTACTTTTTGTTGCGTACGACGTACGCGCTTTTTCAAACCCGGTGCTTAAATTGCGGCACAACGTTTCAGCAATTTATTTCAAGAGACACTCTGCTTTTCTTGAAATCTTTTAACCTGTGACGTGTCTACAGATTGTTTGACAAGTAAATAGATTTTTTTTTAATTATTCAAGTGAATAAATGAGTCACGGTTTTCGACCAATGTAAAAGCCGGTTTTCTCAAATGCCCATAAATGGTAAAAGGAGGTACTCCAAAATGGCTGCCACTACTTGAATAGTGGCGCCACGCCCCCAAAAATCAATGATTTATCAAAAACATCACCGAAAGCAGCTTTCAAGAAAGGATTGGATGAAAAATTCACCATATTTTATTTTTAGCCTCAGCTGCGTTCTACTATTATAGAAGATAAGCTAACAAAATCATTACCTTAAATGGTCGTTGTAGTGCAGTCTTTCTAACACGCATGAGTCACACTTGGTGCTTATTAATTATTGTAGTAGCACCTTGACAATGACAATAAGCAAACAAAAAGGATTCGCTTTGTTTAGATAAAGCACTATTTACGAAAACAATCACTTTATTATTACTCAAGTGTATTTTGTAGGTACTAATCAACACTTTCTAGAAACAAACCTTGCGTTTTCAAATAACATTAAAATACCTACCTACAAAGGTGCTAAATATATTTTTGACAACTCAGTACTCGCTTAACTCATCGTAATAAAAAATACAAGCGCTTCTAGCCAAAGTCAAAACAAACGATGTTACGTACTTACTTATAAATTATCTATTTTAATAAAAATTAATTAAGTATAATATTGAAAATCTATACTTCATGTTGTTACACATAATAAAGAAAATAAATTAATAAATACTATATGAGTCCTCTTTTCTTCTTGTAATCTTGCAAATTTAAACTTCTTCTGGGAGCTAGATCCTTTGTTACAGTTTTAGGTGTGACGTTAACGCTTGCCACTGCAAAAAACAATACAACGCCACTCAAAAAACAAACAAAAGCAGTTCGATGTAGTTACCCGGCAAAGGAACGTCCAAATCGATTTTAATATCAAAGTCGTGAGCAGAAAATAAATCATCCTGAGTAACTTGAGCTGGTTGTGCTGCAACTTTTGGGTTCTCTACTTCTACAGGCATTTTTTCAGGCTTCTTTTCGGCAACTGTTTCCACCTTCTCTTCAGGCGCTGCTTTAAAATTCATTCTTGGCTTTGTTGATCTCCTGGTGAAAGGATCGTCAATCTAAAAATGTATCATTATTTTATTCATTTAACACCATTAATCTAGATATTAAACCTTTTTGCCTTTATTAGCTTTAACTTCAGCCATAATGGCCTTTTCTGCCTCTTCTACGTTCTTTTTTCGATTTCTGTCATTTATATAAGAAATGCTTGAAATCGTTGACGTCCTCATCTTATCTAATTCTGATGCTCTCTCTTCCAAATCGGAAATTTTTTGCGACAGATCTCTAGCAACTTCTTCGTCTCCTCGTGCCATCGCTGAATCTCTTTCTTTCATCAACTGGGTTTTTCGCATTGCGTAATTATGAGGATTAGACTTAAACCTTTCCTTTTCTCGAATCTGAAAAATATAATTATATGGTTCGTTTCAAACACGTATTTTGGTACTATTACAATTCGTTCAATATCTTGTTCATTGAATTCGTAATTTATAGCTTCTTTAATGTCTGCCTGTTTTTGTTCTACATGTTCTTTCGCTGGTAAAGCATTACCGGCTGCGGTACTAGCTTCTATCCATTTAGAATATTCAATGTCTGTAAATTCTTGATTAGAAACAAATTCCAGTCGGAAAACTCGTTCCTGATTGCCATGACGCACTCGTAAACCCTGCAATTAACAATACAATTGAGGAAAAACTAGAAAAATGTGTTTGTTAAAAATCTAAATTATTCCTTTTTATTAGTTTCTAATACTCGACGGAACAACTACATGAGTAAAAGATTTTATTTTATTGTGTGATTTTTGGTTGGGTTTACTGGTAAAATAAAGGGAACTCATTCAAAAATTTATAGAAGTCAATCAATTGAACTAAGCTGCGCCAAAAGCTAGAGTTCATTTAAAACTTTTTTTAATTGTTATAATAATATTGTTACGAAAGAAAACCATGCGCCGCCTCGGTACGACGCCTATGGGTCTCTAGTGTGTGTTTATTCTGGTATGTACGGCGGTGATGACTCATCGGGCGGGTGACGCGGCGTTCACTGACGAAAACCCTAGAAGCGCAAGTCGCGATGGGCAACCCAAAAAACCGTCGGAGAGGCATTCTCGAACCATCGACAGGAACGTTTAGATTTAAATAGGGGTCACCGTCGGGAACGAGCCGAGTTCAGCGAATGTTAAGAAGAACCAAACAAATCGCACCGGAATTGGTTTGTACATAATCGCTGTGCAGTTAGTCGTGTAAATCCCAGTTATTAAAAAATAAATTATTGAGTTTTACCCACGCCGATTCTAATCACCCGTCCAACGTAACAATATATGTATATACAAGCGTCAGCACCAACTCCAAAAGCAAATTAATATTCGTTTCAAAAAATAAAATAAATACTCTACTCTGTAAAATATTATCTGTTCAAAAATTAAATAACCACTCAATTGGCAACACATTACGAAAACCTAACCGACAACATTATCTAGGGAGAATTTTGGTGCCAAGATGTGCTGTCAAAAAAATTAAGTTAGGATAATTATGGTTTTCATTCAAAACGCGTTGTTTTTATTTATTTTATTTTGACATTTTTGTCATGAAATTTCAAATTTGAAGTTTTTTTTTACTACCAACTTACCAGAGTAAATATAAGTCGTAGAGGAGTTTTATTTGGTATCACTTTAATTTAATACGCGTGGTTTTAACCAACAGTGGTAAATCATATATTTTAAATTTTTAATTTCCTTAGTACGAAATACTGTAACACGCTTGGCAACTTTTTTCTGGGAAAAACAAAACTCATGAGTCATGTTAGCTAAACTTTTAGTGTTTTTATGACCTTGCGCATCAAAATATTGGTTTTTGCTAAACATTGTCAAATAAAAAAAATTGGTCGAAGGTTATTTCGACAGAACTCTCCTCGTCCCTGAAGTACAATAAAACAAATCCAGCTTTTTAAAAAAATTATAAAATTTGATTACATGCAATTTATTTTTTTTATGAGAACCTTTATAAATTAAAATAGAGATAGTGTACAACATTAAAGTTAATGTAAAGAAGCGTGCTGTGTGTACGTTTCAAATGAGTTTTCCCTTAACAAAATTTTGTGATGTCATCAACATGTATCACTTTGGATAGGTGTAGTGTAATACTAATGATAACAGTATTGTATAGTTTCCCCAGTTCTAATTCAGTTTTATGATGTGTAAAGGTTAACTTCCTTACTACTGCCGGTGATGGGATAGTTATAAGTAAGGATTTAACCATTATACTGTATAATAGTAACGGCACGGCAAATTTTCGGGAAAATGGAGTGAGCTGTTCTAGATTTAATGAATAAAATAAATTGACTCATTCATTAATTTTTATGAGTCACCTGTATAATCAATTTAAAAACTTTTTAATGCAACATTTTGGGTAGGATTTATTCGGCAAAATTGTGAGATGGTGTCATAAATTTTTTGACGGGAATAAACAGATATATTTTGATTAAAAATTTACCATGCTCACGATAAGTTTCAAATAAGTATAAAACGTCTGCAAAATTTCAAAGCATTCGGTTGTGCAGTGTCATTCCACTGTCACATGAAAACACTCTTTTAAGCACTGTAACCTAATTTTTTTATTGTTGTCATTTTTGACATTGTAGGCACCCTGACACGCGATGCAACGTGATAAATCATTTAAACTTAAAACCTTCAAACCGTTAAAGTACATAAAGGCATAGATTACATCAACATTTTCAGAATGACAGTCAAATTTACGTCGAAGATTTTCTAGTCGCGACTGTACTTCAATGACTGTTTTTGAAACAAATATTACTACAAAATTGCTTGTAAAATAAACTGGCAGTACATGATTTTACTCAACCTTAATTTTTTACATTTATATCATTGTCATTGCAACTTAATGATCATTAAAATTTCTTAAAAAATATGCGTTCCAATTTAAAAAATATAGGTTTGCGTCGGGACACCGATGCCATAGTTATATACGTCGTATTGTAATGTACTAAATTATGCTTTCTCCTTCTAGCTATAATCAATGACGTTTACAGAATTTCAATTCTCTATCTGGTTTTAAGAGGCCGCGGAGTTTTATCTGGGACATCTATATACAGAATGATCGAAAAATGAAGGACAAAACTCGAGAGTACGTTGTTAAGAAAATTCTGAAGACACAATTCCCAATTTTTAAAAATATTAAACTTCAAGATTGAAAAATTAACTTCGTATGTTTTAATGTGCATTTAATTAACAGTCTAAAATTCCCATAAAAATTGTCACAAATGACATCTGTCAACAGTAAAAAAGAACGTTGTGGATCGTATTCTAGAAAATTATTATAATAACTAATTATTTAACTGTCTATTAGTACAACAGTTCATTAAAGCATATCAGAAATACAAAGTTAATTCTGCAACTTTAATTTTCTCAAAATTTTGGTGCAAGGCTTTTTAAACCATTTTTCTTTCTTCAGAGCCTTCGTAATAACGAACTTTTCCGTCATTTTGGGTTCACTGGATATATAATTTTAAATGGAACGTTAAGTTCATTTTTATTGTATACACATACAATACAAATCAGTTTAACGTTAATTTACGCTGTGTATTTTCGACGTAACTTACAGTATTGTAAATCTTTAATAAATTAGAATAAGTGAAAATATTATACGAAGAATATGTCTAATCATTGCAATCTATCACTTAGGGCTACCATTTACTTTCTGAGAAGGGATTACTCTAAAAACTGTATAATCTACAGATTACGGCGCCAACTTGGGAACATTTTTGGGTAATCATATCACACCTTATTTATAAAATATGTCAAATAATTGTTACGTTGGTACTTTGTTTTCTATAAATTTAGAGAAAAGGACCTGCAAAATCTAATTTAATGTTATATATCATTTTATAACTTACTAATTCTCTGCTGAAGATAAATTTGTGTATGCAGCATATATATCGTTTCGAAAGATCCAGTTAACTTTAACAATGACTTAAAATTACAGCTACTGACAAATAATACAACCGCATAATTTCCTAAAATGCTTGGCATTTCTCCAAGTTGAAGATTTAAGTAGGTAATTCTTTTATATCGTTATTGTGTCCTACAGTTTTATAAATGGTTTTTAAAATTAATTGAGCATCAGTTCAAAATATTCTATGACCCATTTATTACGAAGATGTAGAAATCAATTCAAGCCATATTTTTACAATATAACTTTTGTAACTTTTTAAGAATAAGATCAGCTTGAAGGTGTCCATATAAAAAACGCAATTTCTATAAATATCAAACTGGACTTTTTAACGACTCCTACTTTATGTTTGTTTCAATAAATAAATGTAATAGTGTCCTTGTATGATTATTATTAACTTACGAATTTTTGCTAGAGGAATGGCTAAGTATATTAAGATTTGTTTTCTAATTATTTTAATCCCTTTAAATGTGAATTTGTGTATGCCATTGTTCATGCTTTACTTGTTAACTGCTGCGCAGCATTTGATAATTCACCATGTTACTTTTAAATTATTTCACCTTTAGTGTGATATTTGTGCATACCCAACAAATAAAGAAGGCCACTTTTTAAAACATGCACCATTCGCTTCCAAAATGAACGTGACAACACTGCCTAAAATTAAGAATTAGACAAAGAGAAACGTACAATCTGAACTCTTTTAGTTACTTATTTCATTGAGATGGCACTTCTCTTTTTTTATGGGATTATACTCAATTTTAACAACTCATAATGGCAAATTGCTAGTTTCAGCTTTTCTCGAGGTTTCGTAACTCAGAGTCCTCCGTTTCCGTCGGTTCTTTGTCTGTTGGTGATTTTATCAGACAAATAATTTCAAGAAACCGATTGTAGGTGTATTAGTTCTCTCCTCTGTATTGAGGAGACAAAATCAAATTATTTTTTTTAACAGATATGAACAACCGAATTGTTTCGCTATACAGGGTGTCTCAGAAATAAGTACATTAATTTTAATCAGTTATAGAGCTCATCGAACTCAACAACTTTTTTTAATAGAGTTTTGTCAAGAACTTTTTAATTATCAAGTTAAAAATTGTTAAACTTTTATCCCAATTAAGGTTACCCGCCCATGACTCCTCAGTCACCCATGGACACTAATAATTATAATTAATAATTTATGGTCAAAAACAGTTACTAGGATACGTATTTTCCTAACCTTGTCAACATGACAAACATTTAGAGAGAAATTGAAAATGCTGCACCCTAATGGCGTCCGGAATTTCATCGGCCCAAATGTGGGTGTTGATTACACCTTTCCTCGTGTAACCGGCTTCATCAGTTGATGATATACAAGAGAGATACAAAATTTGCTTGTTCGTTTATTTTTCTATTAACCCACTCACAAAAGTTTTGCCTACGTGGTAAGTCTGCTGGTTTCAATAACTGAACTTTCTGGTCTTGAAAAGGGTACAGTTGTTCTCTGAGTATCCTCCAAATACTACTCTCCGAAACATCACACTAGACTCTTCAAAACAGCCTCTTCGATATTAGCAATTCTATTACTACGTAACTTACCCCGATCCTGAGAAGCAAGTTTAAAAGATCCGTACTCTCTAAGATGCTGCAACGTTCTTAAAAGTGCGCACATTTGGCAGACGACGATTTGGGAGGCTCTCTGAAGAAATTCTTTGGGCGCGAGCGCCGTTTCCCCGAGCTTCACCGTACGTTAAAACGATATCGGTGCATTCCAAATTTGAAAACAAAGTCATTTCAACACATTTCGTCTATAAATTAGAAATCTGTGCCAAACAAACTCTCAAGGGACAACGTTTAATAACATACACTTGACGTAAAAATGATTGTCAGTGTCAAAACCGTTGCTAGGATACCTTCCTCATTGTTGTAGTGTTGTTATTATTTAAGTTATTATTTAAGGTGAACATAGACAGCTCGTGAATATATGGGTGGGAAAATTCGAAATTCGACTTGAATTTTCGAAAAAATGCTAGATAAAAAAATTGTTCCGTTTGACGAGTTCTGTTACTGGTTAAAATTAATGTACTTATTTCTGAGACACCCTGTATAAACATAAAAGTCGAAATTAAGCACGTACTAACAATATATTGTTCCTGTTGGTTATCTACTTTAAATATACAGGATGATTGGGCCCAAATGTACGATTTTGACCATATATTAATTCACTACTTAGTGTTGAGTACATGAAATCAATAGATCTGCATTACTTAAAATAATTTAGGAAGAATCATCTCTCAATTCATAGTTCTATTCATTTTTTTTTTCGTACAAAAAACTTAAAAATTGTTTAGAATGCGCCTCACAACAATAGCTAATTTTTCACACTTTTTAATCGATTTATCTGAATCAATGTTTTGTTTTTTGTAAATGAACATCAAATTAGCGTAAGAAATTTTTTAATGATTTTTTTCCAACTTGAATTTGTGAATTTAATAATGTAGGTACCGTTGAGTAAGTACGCTATTTTATGAAGCACTCATATTTTTTTAAATTATTTATATAGGATGTCTCTCTGTTACTTGATTTAATCAAAAATACTGTATCTCATTTTTCTAAAATTCGGAGATTAATGTAAAGTTATTAGTATATATTACACTTTACCTATCCAAACTGATACACTTTTTCCTAGTAAAAAGTTGATGGGTCATCACACAGTTTTAATAAGGAAAACTGTTTGAAATATGCGTACAATATACTTATTTATCTATAGAATAATTCACACCAATTTTTATTTATACTTACACGAGTTACCACAAAAAATAAATAAACACATCCAATTTTATCATTTATCTAAGACTCTGGATTTGTTTGATTGCAAGTTTGTCTAAACAACTTTAGACTTTTTTTTAACACATCAATTCATAACAAAAGTGTTAGTTTATATTCAGGTATAGTATAAAAGCTTGATAATTAGTAACGAATTTTAAACATCTGTCAAAATAACAATAATGTAGTTTTGTCACTTTTGTCGAAAATAGTAGATAATTCCAGAACATGATGTTATTTCTACTAGTATGATATAACCTTTAAATCATTAAGAAAAATTTTTTAATACGTCTGATAATGATCCATTAGCATGCTAAATACTAAAACGATCATTCCATTCCATTCCATTTCAAAATGGTTAGCGCTTAATCAAACATTGAAATACATCTTAATCAACATTTTTTCAGGTTGCCAGTAGCCAGCCCAAAAAAATATAAAATAACAGCAAAGTTTTAATTCGTAATCTTACTTTACCGATTGTTAAAAAATAGGAAAACAATACGATTTATCACAATAGCCCAAAATCGCTGACCCATAATTTGAAAATACAGAAGGGCAATCTTCTTAAAAACAATTTACAATTTAAAGTTATTAAAAAAAAATTCTCTTATTCAGACGCAAAATCTCCTAATTACTCTACACCATCTTCGCTTTTTTCCTTCCCGAGAGGTAACTAAAAGGAATACCGTCATGGGGTAATTTTTACAACTGCAGATATTGGAAAATTGCTATCTGTAAAGTGTTTTTCGGACTTTTGGACAAAAAATATGGGGAAACTTGAACGTAATGATACATAAAAACTTTTTTTTTAATAAAATGTACCAACTCAAATAATATTGTCACTGTCAACCGCATTAAATAAATAAAAAAAAAAACAAGCACGGGAGTGTAAGCAATTTTTTTTTTCGAGTAGACAGAAATGAGCTGAACTTCATATCATTCTATGAAAATTCTTCCAAAATTTCATAATTTTAATATTAAATAAATCTACTTTAAATGTGCAGTGTAATATCTTGTTTTATCCTTGATTTAATAATAATCGATCTCTATTTCTAATTTCAACTCAAACTGGTTGTTCAAGAACTTTGCTATAATTAAATATAGGTCATTGTGTTACTTATTATTACATTAACGTAATTAAAGTCCCTGGTTGTTCTAAAAAATAATTTTGAGCAAAGAAAAAACCATGGCTTACCCAGATATTGAACAACTTCCTTGAAACTACCCGTAATTTAGGGATTACAGAATACTAACTAGAATTTATTTATTCCTTGTCTTAAAAAATGTCTCTTTTTTGGACTTACTTATTTGGGCGCTATTTCCTTATTTTTACAAACTGATTACATAACTAAAAAGTAAAAAAAAAAAATTACCTTATTTGTTCTTGTGTTGCCCAAATTGTAGATTTTGGCTGTTTCGTAAACATTTATCACTTCTGCCACTCTATATACCGGCATGTTATTATGTTGACCTATACCAATTTTAACGTAACATCCCTTAACAATACGATCAAAAAATGGCATATGTACAAATCTTTCAAGTTTATGTCTTGATAAACGAATATTATTTAGATCAACTCTTGTAGGTATATAAGCAGGTTTATCTTCTTCTTCTTGTTCATTATCACTTGAACTAGAACTTGAAGAAGAACGAGATCTTGTAGATCCCGCAGACTGTCTTGGTGCTTGAGGCGAACTTTTACCTCCTGAAAAATCCTAAATTTACAAAACAAAGCGACATTATCTAAAAACAAATAATGCAATGGTATTAACAGTGACCACTTCAAGACAAATTTTTGACAAAAAATTACCTTCACTTTCACTATCATCTGAATAAATATCTGAAGCTTTCAATTTTACAGCGTTTTTGTTTGAGGAATGAACAGCGTCTTCCTCCTCTTTTTTTCTTTGTTCTTCTTTCCGTTTCTCCTCTGCTTCTTCCCTTTTTAGTTTATCCTCTCTCCTGGCCTTCAGTTCTGCCATTGCATTAACTCGTTTATCAACCCGTCCACGATTCTCTTCAATATTTTTCTTTCGTTCTTTGCTGCGTTCCTTATGATCTATTGAACTAAAGTCAGTCTGAAGTTTACTATGATCTTTATCTTTCTCTTTATCCTTATGTTTGTGTGGTTTTTCTTTTGCTCTTTCAGCTTTCTTTGCCTGTCTCAGTTTTTTTTCAATTTCAAACCTACAATTAGGAGAATGTTATGATTCTTGACAAACGTGTAATGAAAAATTGACATACCTTGTTTTCATTAATTCTCTTTGTTCAATCCTCTTAAAAATTTCTGTTTCTCTTTCCTTTTCTGTCAAACTTGCTAGCCGAGCTCTATCTTCTTCATCTCCCATGAGCTGATCATCGTAACCATCATTATATTCTTCGTCTGATATTGATGAATCAGACACCTCTCCTTCTTCTGGTTCAGAATTCTTGCCGTCATCTTTCTTTTCCACTTCTGAGTCAGATGAATCTCTTTTTTGTTTTTTATTATTTCTATCGCTGTCCGAGTCAGAATCAGAATTGGATTTTGGCGACTTCTTTTTTCTATTTTTTTTCTTGGCCAAATTTAAAAATTCCTGGCATAAAATGAACATAAACAATTAAAGTATTAATTCCTACTTATCATGATAAACTGATTAACGCCTATTTCAATAGTTTAGAGTTAGCAACTGAAATTTTGGTTAATGATACAAGAAAGATCCTTTATTGCTTATTCAATTGTAGGTGTTAATTTTTCAGATATATCTATGTATCCATAGGCATTTGATGAAAAAAAACACACTTTTATCGATTTAATGTGCAAGAAATTTATGGATGAAAATTGAAAGTGTCGCTTATAGGTTAGGATTTTTTCGTTACGCTAATAATACTTACGGAGTCTAAATCACTAGTTGAATCGTTGCTAGAATCACTGTCAATTAATGCTTGATTTTTTCGCTTTCCCATCTTCGAATTTTAATATGATTTAATAATGTTTGGACTCACTGACTCAACGCAACAAAACAACCACCGCCACCACCATTGCTATTCCTTACTCCTTTTCCTTTGCCACTTCCCAGGGTTCCTTGTCCTTGCTTCGCGCATGGTGGGAGAAAACCGCTACCGCCTGTTATTTTAAATTCCGAAGTCATAAATAAACTTTTTATCAACCCATCATTCACAGAAGAATAATTTTGTTACCTCATGCTTTTTATAGTTTATGTTTTTTACACCTTCATGTTAAATGCAGATCCGTAATAAATTCAATTTATTTCAAACATCATTTTTGGATTTTTGCCGAACGTATGCAACCAGCATTTCAGTGTAATAAAACGATGTGTAGTCCATAGTACGGTCACAGATTACGGATACCGGTAAAGTTTGTCTATAATTCTATAGGAATTTTATGGACTCCCAAAATTAATTCTTTTTACAGCTCTGCCGTCAATTTTATTGTACAGCTAAAGAGCCTGTCAGGGGAAAGCCGATGTTCACTGCCCCCAAGTTCGCCCCGCGTCGGGCAGTCTGGCAGGGAGGTAGAAATTTCTTGAAAAAGCTGCGGTTCGAAAAGGACTGTAACTAAAACGAGCAGGCGCGGATACAGGATTTCGTTTAGGGACAGGGGGGCAATTTTTGTGCGATTTTACCTATCTCCCAGAAATTCGTTCTAAACAAAAAAAAAATATAAAATTTAATAATCATACACTCTTGGAGATTGGAGTCATAGAAAAATAACTTGGAGTTTACTGCAAGATTCATCCAGTCCACAGTCTTATCTACCCACAGGAAACACCTAAATAATTCAACATTTTATTTTATTATGAAAGTTTTTGTAATCAATTAATTTAACTATTCTGTTTGGTCTTAAAACAGTACTTTCATCGTTTTCTGAAGCGTGACAAATACCACGTGCGTATCAGATATTTTCACCGTTTTCATACTTTTGCTCATTTCTGTACACTTTTGTCTTTTTTAAGTAAAGTTGAAAGCATTTACACATCGAAGGCAGTAAAATTTCAAATGAGTTCGTCGCGTAAAGGATACTGTACCGTACATTTAACTGCACAATTTTGATTTTTTTTTACAATAACTCATATGTGTGAGATTAAAAATAAGGGTGGATAGTGAGCTATAGATACATGTTGTCATTCTGCACAGTACTTATTTAGGTGAGATTTCCACAATAATAAGATAATTTACTTATCATATCACACATAGACCCTACATCAGTTACGATTTATTGATAAATTTTTCTGTTAACTAACAAATAATAGGGATAAATTAATAAAATACAGGTAGGTCCAGAAGCATATTATTTTGCACATTTTAAATTTATTCAGTAAAACTTTGAGATATTCCACATTTTTTTTTAATAAATCGAAAATTTCACAACAATCAGTCCAGTGGTTTCAGAAATTTCTTTCTATAAAAAATCACTAACAGAATATAGACGAAAGACGACATACCAATGAAAATGAGGCCTACTTTTTCATATTCTAATAAGAGCTAAACGTCGAGAAAATAAGAAAGTGGTCATTTGTCAGATGGATCTTATTACAATTAAAGTACTTTATTATATAACACAGAACTTTAATTAAAATAGTTTCGTAAAGCTATCATTACGCTTGGAAATAAAAAGGGGTTTATTTTATGAAATCGCAGAAAAAATTTTTTTTACGCATAAGCATTCCTTTGAAAAGCATCGTTGTGCGGGTACAACTAAATTTTCAAATTTGATTAAAAAAGAATGTGTTCAAATAGCCACTGCCTGATAACTTGATAACAAACCAATTTTCGTCAAGGCTAATAAATAACGTATATATTTAAATAATACAAGCAAATACATTGTCCCTAGAACTAAAAAACTAGAAAATATGTCACGGTAATTGTAACTGAAATTGAAGAATATTATATCACATTCATTTTTCAGTGCAACAAGATAAAAATTTTACATTACAAAGTATTATCAAAATAAGTATGTAAAATTCAGTGATTGGAACAATTACTTTTTGCACTTTGAACAATTTAATGAAAACACAATTTTAGATATTTGTTGTTTGGGTCCAAAGGGTCAAGAAATAAAAAAAAATATTTACAAAGGGACTAAAGATAGTGTAAACTTAAAAGTCTGCCTCTTACTTGGCGTTGTGACTTACAGATTAAATTTAGAAAACCTTAGAGGGTGGACACTCTCATAAAATTTTATTGTCGGATTATGAGGGGTTTAAAACGACGGGCTCTATCGGTTACCCGTTATAGATCTGAGTGGATCAGAAAAATGGCTAAAGTTTGTTTGACCACAAATTTTAAATATTCTGCCCCTGTTTACTCAATTATTTATTAAGATACTTATTTTATTTCTGTAAAGCGCAATTGACTTTTTAATACAATTTCTACTAATGTACCTTTTTGAAAATTTGAAATTTATCCATAAACAGCGAAAACCAGATAATCTCACACTCATCAGTCACAATGTTAACGTGTTGTAGTGTTTTTTTTTTTGACAACAAAATTTAAAAAACGGAAAAGCAGTCTGGGTAGGGTTTTTTACGCTCATTTCAACGGTGTGAAGTTTATTACAATCGGAAGTATACGTTTGGTAAAAACTTGGGCGACGTTTATATGTATTTCCCCATGCTTGAATATGCTTCAGCTCAATGATGAAGAACTTGTGTATATTATTTATTGTACGACGAAAGATATTTGCAAATGACTCCAATTATGGGAATTGCAGCTGTAAAATTTCCGACCACTTCGGAAAGTGCACCCAGCATAAAAGAAAACTATCGAAGGGAGTAATAACCTTTAGCATTAATTAATTAAGCAATGTGTGGAAGTGTAACAGGTCGTAAACACTGATTCCAGTCCGAGCACTTTTGTCGATTTTTGTTTCTTAACTTTTTTATCGAAATACCTTTTAATATTGCCCGAAAAATATTCCAAACACTATTTATTCCATGGGAGTAGGATCACCATGGTTTATTCAGTCCTATGTACTGAGTCACTTAACTTCTAAAATTCACTCAAACAAAGATACGTAATTAATAAAACCTATTTACAAAACACATTTTTAAGAGATCTATCTAAACTAATGAACGACAGACAACAAGAAAAATATGCAACAACCGATATTCCAACACACTCGACAATAATTATTATCATAGTTCAGCCAATTTACACAAAACCTTCATAAATTATACAGTTAAACCCTCCTCGTGAATCACTCTATCTGTTGGTGAAAAACGCATGAAAATAAGTACAGTAGTTTTTGAGATTATCGCGTTCAGGCAGACAGACAGACGAACGGACATATAGAGACTTTGTTTTAATTTATACTATGTAGTGAATTAGTGATTCATCAGCAACGGTTATTACGTTATGTTTTTCACCTCTTAATATTTTCAATTCATTATCATTACATTACATTACCTGTGAACGTTAAAAGAAAGATACAAGGACATACCCTAAAAGGGATGTCGAAATGTTCAGATAAGAAGTTCATCCCCGGTTGAACACCAATCTCGAGAACCTTATAAGAGGATTTCAACAACTTTCAACAAGCTTATTATTTTTATTAAACTGATGAAATCCAATTAATTTAAAAATGAAACTAATAAAAGATGAAAATTGAAGCAATTATTATGACGAATTGTGCTGGCATTTTATTTAAATACCCAACTACGTGAACTCAAATACTGAATCCTTGTACTTTGTAGTAAAGAAAATTCTTTAAGCTGTATTACAATTATATTACTATCGTTTTATACATCTTTTTTTATTTTTAGTTTATGTTCTGTAATCCCCAAATTAATTCTAGTGCCATATTAATTTTTTAATAGTTCCGTTATAGCGCCTCTAAGATTTTATTTAACTCATAAATTCGTAAAGTTATGTAAAGGAGCGGGTTATTATATTTACCACAGGTAAAAGAGCATGACATACAGTTTAAACGAGATTTAGTTAAAAATATTGCAAGATAACGGCATCAGTTTTTTTGTAGAGGATTTAGAAACAAATGTGATTAACATCTATCTTTTTATCTACATGATAATCTTAAAGTACCTATGTCCAGAATTCCAAGATAATCGATTCAATGGTTTCGAAAATTATCTACGGGATAATTTTCTAACAGACATACGACAAGGAGATAGTCGACAAACGACAATTAAAACGACGGGAAATCAATTTTTTTATATTCTATGAACCAAGAAAAATTAAGTGAAACTTGCATCAAAATAACTCTATTGTAATACATATAGGTATTTCTTGCGCACAGTAAAAATAAGACAAATTTGAATAAACGTTTACACACGCTGTAGGCTGTGTAAGTACAAGCAGTACCTAAGAAAAGCAATTAAAACATGTTTTTTATGTAGGAATGTTTTGACGATGATCTAAATTCATATTTTCTTGGAATTTGACAATTTTTGCAATACAAAAATACGAATTTTTCGTAGATAGTTCTGTCTGTCTGTCTGTTTGCTGGAGATATTATAAAACAAACAACCTTGAAATCGCTGCATTAGTTACTTTGAAATTTTAGATGTGGTTTAAAATGATTGTGGAGACGTAAAACTCTATCTAATTTGTCTTTTTTTAGTCCAGAGACTTTTGGAAATTGTTTCGAATGCATTCCAATAATGAATTAATTAGCCCGAATGGGACGAGAGCCTAATTACATTATTGGAATACAAAAAATTCCAGAAAATCAATTGCACGAAGACATATTCTGTCAGAAAATCGTATACGACACAGAAAACTGTTATTAGGTACACTACCTCCGTTTAGACAATTTCGTTAAAATTAATTAATCAAGATGTAACAGAAATATTCTTAGCAACCTCAAACAAATGCGTTCAGTTACGCGTAAACATTGCAAAATTAAAAATTGATTATCAGAATGTTGCGCTTTAGTGCAGTATTTCCACAAAAGATCGACGAAGCGGTGATTGATTCTCAACCAGTAAACACAAAAACAAAGTAAAGCTTAACTTTTCATGTTTTGTAAAGAAAAAAATATATGTATTACTAGAAGAATCAACAATCGAAAAAGTGTTACCCATAGTGCTTAAAGATTGGGCTTTCAATATGAAAAGAAAAGGCAGAGAAGAGTACAAGGAAAAT